AAAAAAAAAAAACATGGTCCTTTCCAAAGTTGCGGTACCGAGGCCCCTGTGCCTCGAGCCACCTCAAAAGTTCCGACCCCAGTGAGTCCTTAATATCATCTGATACATTCTTGAAATGTCATCTGAGCCTAGTCCACCATAATATGACACGTAGAATAGCTTTGCTCCATTCAGATCATATGCCCTACGTGGATGCTTCAAACCCGAGCATGACATATAGGCTCCAACGCTTTTCGAGCTTCTATATAGGCTCCCCGAGATCCTTCTTGTTTAAAAAGCAGCAGAAGTCCATCCATGGAATTGTATCCCTGCACTAAGCGAGAAAGTCTTTCTTAAATTCGATGGCAATTCATAAACATTTATCCCTCGTCCATCACATGACTTATGGTCTGTATCCAACGCCCATGATAGATGAACTTGTGTTCGTTCCTCCACGTCCTTGGAAGCGTCTGCCAATGCTTCATCCCTGTTTGTGTCGATACCATTTTAACTGCAGAAATCGAACTCATTAACTCAAAATCAATAATTTTTTGTACATTTTCAGCTTCACTATTGCCTGTGGGAATGTAACTGTCATTAACAAGAGAAACCAAGATCTCAAAACTCGGTTGAGCATAAATTGGAATCTTCAACACAAAATCAGCAACTTTTTTTACATTTCCACCTTCACCATTGCTTGTGGAAATGTAACTATCACCAACAAGAGAATTTGGGATCTCAAAACTCCATTGAGTACCAGAAGGCAATACAGATTGTTCAGCTTCCCCGATACAGACAAATGAACAATATTACAAGAAACAATAGAAGTCGAAGATGACCATACATGGATAAGAATCAACAGAAAAACGATGCCAAGAATTCTAAAGAAAACTTCCTTAGAAGGGAATAAAAGAAACTTTGATCATTTTCTTGAAATCTTTTGGATAGTTTAGATTTCTTCTTAGGCTATTCTTGATTTGCTTCTGTTTAATAAGTCGAGAAAGTGGACCAAATAATTTCTTGAATGTTGGAAGCACATTGTAGAGAGAGTGCCAAGATCGTGAGGTCAAAAAATGAGCTGTAAATAGAGAATTATTTGAATTGAGAATGCATCAGTAAGTCAAAACCTAGTACTTAAAGCTTCCAATTATGGTCTAACTACCATAATACATCATGTATATGTCATATATTAAACAACACATATGTCATGTCAAAGAAGTAACAAAAGACATTCGACAAAGGTATAATTGAAATTTATGAGCTATAAAGGAGACATAAGCAACAAAACAAACAAGAGAAATTTGTGTAGTCGACTCGTCTAAGAAACAAATGTATGTATATTTGGTCCAAAATTCATTGCAAGTTGTAAGATTGGGTTGCTGCATTT